TAGGAGAAGGCCATCTCACAGCAGTCATGACTGGAATCTGTAGGAACAGCGAGTTAATTGATGTTGAATTTGGGGAAGACTCGGAGGTTTCACTGTCGTCTGAACAAGGTATAAACATATTTTCATCAGTTTTGTACATAATAGTGTGCAACTCTTTTAACCTTTTAGCCTTATTTGTGAGATTCAAGCTAATAACTTGGCCTAATGGTCCCCGGTGTTAGCTAACGTTCAAGATATCCTAGTGTGGCAGAGTGGAGGCTGCTACGCGCTCCGAAAATAATGACAAATTAAATAAAAGAAAGAAAAACCAGCAACGCCAGGGCAGAGTGCCCAAAACAAAATAAAAAGCGCTCTAAGGCGCACAAGTTTGTTAAATCATTGAGAGGCATAGGCAGACAGTCTGTATACTTTGATTTATTATTCTACATTATGTTTAGTTCATTTATAGTCGTTCACTAGGTTGTTATGATTCACATTTACGTTCACACGAGCCCATCTTCCAGTCACGATGGACTCAGGAGCACAGGTGAACACAAAAGAAACAGAACAGGGAGAGAAACGAGGGACAGCAGGAGAAACAGCGGTGGGCCGCGATGTGGCCAGTCCTCCAGCATATGGGTAAAATTGAGTTGACTTACTACAAGTAACCACAATGCTGTTAGTGTGCGCAGCCAGAACCTACTTTCATACAGCAATTGCCGAGCACACACCCTTGACGGGTGACTGTTTAAAGGCCACACCCACAGCCGGCTATGACACACTCGGACCCCAACGAGGGTGGCCAGATGCCAAAGTGACAGAACAGCTACACAGAAGCAGGGTTTGCGGGGCACAATGCCGCACCGCGGCACTACAACAACAGTTAACATTAGCGGTTGCAACATACCAATATTAGAATTAACACTGTAACTTCACTACCTGGAGCAGGAGAAGGGCTGGCGCGATGACACACAGGAGACGGAAGTGCAGAGGTAAACAAAAGACGTAAATCTAGGCTATTTATACTGGGCGTAGGCGCCCTCTACTGGACAGAAATATGGTGGCCAAGCCCAGCTTGCCACACTAGAACATGCTAACAAGGCTAATAACATATGTTTACATTATGCCAGTCTCACCTTGAGTTGCCTTTGATTTATTTACCACAATGTACATTGTAATATCCAAAAATGCAAACACCTATTAACGGTTTAATAAAAAAATATCACATATCAGTTATCATGTTAGCTCTTTTGTCTTTTTACAACTTCAGCAGCTTTTTGTTCGTATAGTATGTTCATAAAAGTACAATATTTATTTAATTCAAGTTATTTTGATTGTACAGCATGTTATTATAACTTATTGCAATCATTATTATGACATTTTTGTTTTGACTCTGTAGGAAGTGGCCACAGTCCTGTTTCTGATGACCGAAGTGATCCTGAATTTGCATCTGATTCTGAACATTTTCAACAGCTTGATCCTTACTCATTTGAGCCACATGCAACACCACAGCCCCTTGATGGGAATAATGAAAAACTACTATTTTTATGGACAGTGTAAAGTTCTTATGCCAGAATTCAAATGTTTGTTTTTATATTTTATAATGATGATGATATACATTATTGAAACATTAGGCTACATCAAGCTTGATATAAATTTCATGCTAATGTGACGCCCGCTATGTGTGGTCGCATTATTCCGTATAATTAAATACATTTAAAATAGATAGTATTGACGCCTACCACTAGAGGGCAGTGCTGGTAAAGAGACAGTTTTAAGGCGCCCGCTCCTGCTTCGCGTCAGTCGGCAAGCAGAGAGCCTGGAGCGAAGTTGAGTGTGACTGTCTCTTTTCTTTTAATTTCAGGTTGGTACTGTAACACCCAAGCATTATATTTGCGAGTTTGTACTGTCACACAAGAGCGTTACTGCCACACAAAAGGTGTTTAATGTGTTCGTTTTTACTGAAAAAGTATAGTTTTAAGCAAACGGTTGTGCGTTAGCCGTTAGCTTTTAGCCATTAGCTTTGGGCTGTTACATTTTACATTGAGAGATGGGCTCACCGTCAGTTTGTGTTCTCTTTATTATCCTGGTTAAGTATTTGAAGTAACCATTATTTTATTGATTAGAAATATTATAAAAAGTGAAGTCTAAGCGAAGCAGCTCCGACAATGTCAAGTTGGCATGTGTATTAGAATAAATCTAATGTGGTAAAGGATATCTGTTATACAATTAACTATATTCCTGTGCCTATTATCAGATCTGGATTTGAATGTGATAAGTGAATATTGTGAAAATGAATATTCAATGTGAGTTGTATTGAATATGTATACTTAAATGAGTATTGTATTATATTGTGTGAAAAAAAAACAAGTAAATGAGTCGGCATGCAGAGAGCCTGGAGCGAAGTTGAGTGTGACTGTCTCTTTTCTTTTAATTTCAGTTTCAATCCCAAGCCTTCCCCAAATAAAAAAAATAATAATAAACTGTCAGCAGATATTGTACCGGCCGATACCTGCAACACTAACATAGAATATAATTCATATATATAAACAAATTATCTATTGATTTAATTTACAGGTGTCAGTGCGAAAAATGTGCAATCATGTCACAAGTTGAAGAGTGTTATTGCTGTCAGGAGAAAAACACAGTTTTTGCAAAGATGGAGGAATTCAATTCAGAAAATGGACAGGACGTATCCTGCATCACAGAGCATGAGGGGTTTGAGTCCATTTGCTTAGACCCGTGGTCACTGGAGATATATATATGATATATATATATATATACTGTACAACCAAATAATGCAAATAATTCCTCCGCTTCATCCGTTGCCGTGACCCGGCAACGGATGAAGCGGAGGAAAACGGACGGACGGACCAAATAATGTTAGGCCCATATGCGCGCAGTCAACGCGTACGCGCTGTTAACGCGTACTGTGTAAATTTCCTTTAAGGGTAAAACTATCTGTCAAATTGAGTTTTATTTAACACAAAAAAAGACCACAATATACCAACAAAATAAAATGAGGTCCCTTTTAAGACATTTTTATTCAGACTGGCTTTTAATATTCAGTAGCACAGTGACACTTTAGTTTCTCTCGGTTTTATCTGACTGTTTTATTGTTTGGTTGTTAACAAATTTTATTGTAAAGCCCTTAGGTCGCTTTATGTGTTGTAAAGGGCTCTATAAATAATATTTGATTGAATGATTTCTTAAATCAAATTCTAGTACCAGACATACATTTATTTTAATCAAAGAAACATGTCCTACACAATTATTTTTCATTTTTTATTAAACTTTTTTCCAGCCCTCAGAGGATCCAACCTTACCTGCAACAGCGCCCTGTTCTGCTCATCAACGGAGACAGTGTTCGGTCGGCTTGTGCCGCTTGCTAAGGTGTTCTGCCTCAGCTGTTTATAATGTAATGCAAACATATACATGCGCGTCTCACGGCAGCTGTAGCAAACCAAAATGGCGGACATAAATTCTGTGAATTGTTTAAATAGCTTAAATGCGAACGTATTAAGACAAAAATGTTAATGCAATTTGTAGCCAGATGTTGATGGTTCTATAAAGTGATTTGTGGGCTTTAAGAGTCAAAGTTTTGTGTGAACTTTGGTTTAAGTAGTCAACTGCCCCTGTCAAACCAAACTGCTACTGTATGATAGCAGTCCCTCTCTTGTCAAGTTGAATTGCTGCATAAGTCATTTTACTGACGTGGGCTGATGACGTATTCTGTGGCTTACTCGAAAGCTGACAGCTTCCAACTTAGATTTTATATATTATTTCTCTTATCAACCCGATTGACCAGTTGTAAACATACGTCAGTAAAACGATATATAACACCGATACTGTAGTATCGGTGTCATACAATGATGTATGACACCGATACTGTAGTATCGGTGTCATACGTTAGCAGTGTGGTTTGGTCCAGTTTAGCCTGGCCTTAGCCATTCGTACACTCCGGTCAATCATCATTTTGACTTATCATGTGGACGAGCCGTTGTTTGCTGCTTAAAACCTTTAACCCGCAGCACAGAAGAATGGGAAGATTAAAAAAGCAGTTCTCTGTGCGCAAACGTGCCAAAGCTGTTGCGGGGTTTGGCGCCGCTGTCTCGGCTCTGATCTAGTAGAACGCTTAGCTGCACTTATGAAAAGTATGCGGTTCGAAAAGGGCTTTTATTTCAAAGAACGCGGAACATTTTAAAGTACGCATTTCACCGGTTTCAACCGGTTAATGAGGCTCGATGGTCGGTCATGAAAATTCATAGTTTTTTACATCCCTATCCCAGGGTCTTGTTCATGAGTGAGGGAAGAATGGAGTGTGAGATTGGCAGGCGGATCAATGCAACGTGCACAGTGAAAGCTCTTGATTTGCCGGTCAATCTTTGGTAATCACCGAAAGGATGAGATAACCGGTACAAGTGGTCGAAATGAGATTCCTTCATAGCGTGGGGTGTTACATTTTGCCCAAAGGGTGAGTAGTTCAGTCACATGGGTGCTCGGAGTACAGCCACTGCTTTGCCAAGTTCCTTAATAGGAACCCCCTTGGGTCTTGGAATTCTTCAACACTCTAGAATTTATCAAATGATGGGGAGTGCTAATAAGTTTGGTGACTTCAATAGCGACAGCTGGGTCATTTGATGGGTCTGGGATAAAGGGGCGGATCAGATTTTTAGACCTACTCTCTTGTGTTGCTGCGGGAAGCCTCTGTCTCAAGGGAGGAAGAGAGGGTCTATTACGCATCACCCTTAGAGAGTCTGGCTGCAGCCCCAGGACTGCACTGACCTTCACTGGTCCCTGAATTGGAGGTAGCTTCACCCGCTCAGGTGGACATCTCTGATCCTGCTTGATTTTTTCCGTCAAGACCACTCTGTTAGTGACAATCGGCTTTGTGGGTAGAGCTGATTTCCCAGAGGTTCTCAAGGCTAAAAGCTTTTTAGGAGCAGGGTTAACCTTGTGGACAGATGTAGCTGCTGAGACGTATGTACTGTAAGGAGAGGGCTGTTTGGTGCGCTCCCGCTTCACCTGCTCAACACATTTAGGTTTGGAGGTGTGTTTTGGCGATGCTCAGGAATGCAGCCTGGGATTTCTTTGGGGGCCTTTTCTGGTGGAGTCTGTGCCTCTTTGACTGGTCGGGCTGCCTCATGCATCAGCTCTCTTTTCTCCTGTTCTTGAACTCTAGAACCTAGGTGCCCCATCTCTATGTTCTTGAGGGCCCCACACATCCGCTTGTGCTTCATCGCATAGACATTGTGGTTTAGACAATAGTGAAGGCAATCGTCTTCCTCGAACCGCTGCCTTTGGGCCAGCAGAGGAAGAATGATGCGATCCTCAGCCACTGCCGTTTGGATGGCCTGTTCTACATAATCCAGATGTTGCTGTTTTTTGTCCATGTTCATCTGAGCCTGTCTCTCCTTCTCCTCTAGCTCCTGTTTTTTGTGGCGTGCCTTCAGAATTACTTTCTGTGAAACCAAAGAGCTGTTAAAGTGCACCAGGTTTTCCGCCTTCTGCCGTCTTTGCGCCTGTTTGCGCTGTGACTCTAGCTCGTCCTGTTCTCGCACCTCTCTCTCCTTCCGCAAGAGGTTGATCTGACGAAGCTGTTCTGCTCTCTTCTCCTGCAGTTTGTGTTCCACCTGAGTGCTCAAGAACTCTGTGATTTGTTTCGCAGTCTCTTTCTGCGGCTTGTCATCCAAGTTGCGCTCAAACAGCCAGACCTGGAGTTTTCGCTCCTCCTCATCTTGGCGAGCCTTGGCCTCCTCTTTCTTTAATTGAGCCAGTCTAAGAGTGGCCTCCTCTCGATGCACTTGCTGCTGTTTGAATCTTTCTTGCGTCTGCTTGAGGTACCCCTCTTGACGCGCGTCGACCTCGGCCTGCTCGCGTCGCCACTGCCTCTCAGTCTCTGCGCTCTGCTGCTGCTCTCTCTGCTTTCGTATGCGTTTCAAATCCACACTCTCTAAATACATCTTATATGTTGCTTTTTTAGTGCTTCTTTTGTCAGCACACTCATCATTTTGGACCTGAGGAGGCGGGACATGGGGAGTGCATCTGTTCTCTTGAGCCTTTTTTTCCGCAATCAAGGCATTATAAGAATGTGCAGCCTGGCACTCGCGTTCTTTGCGCTCCTCAATCTGCTGCTCATATTTTCGGACCTCCTTGTTTATTGGGAGTTGTCCTCCTAAATATTCGGACACAGCGGTCTGGTTGGCCTTCTCACTGGCCTTCTTCTCTTGCTGAAGTTGGCATAGGGCCTGATTGTCCTTGGTCACTTTGGACACAAGCACAATCCTCTGAAGGTCCCTGTATGGAGCAGACTGCTGCAATATCTTTTCTTTGGCTGCCTCCAGAACCCTTTGATTCTGTTCTTCCTGACGTCTCATCTTCTCAGCCAACAGAAAGTCCTGATGCTCCTTCCTCCTCCTCCTCCTCTCCTCAATAGGGAGTCGATTTTCCTCCATAGGGGGTCGATTCTCCTCCTTCTGCATTCTGGTCTTGGACTCTGTTTGTTGACCTACACATAGGCCCCCTAAGCTATATTTAAGGCGATGATGTCATAAAGAAAATTGCTGTTGCCATGGAGACAAGATAGCCACAAAAGGAGAGTTTGTTTCCATGGTAACCCATAGCAACACACATCCAGTCAACTGAGGCCGCAAAACTTTTTCTGGACTAAATGATATTTAGTCATTTTAGTTATTGCTTAACGAGCTGGAGTCAAGCTAATCAGACTACTTTAAGAGCACTAGAAATCTTATATAAGCAAGCCATCAAAGTAATGGCTAAAAAGCCAAAATGTTATCATCACTGTTTCATTTTGGAAAAGTATTCCTTTATAAGTTGGCCAGATCTTCATAATTTTCAAATCTACCTTTAATGTACAATTTGGCTCCCGCTCCACTCACGGGTTTAATAAGTCAAGCGGCTCACTAGAGGCTCCGTGAGAGGCGACCGTGTGATCCCTCTGCGTAGGAGCACCTTCTGTCAGTCTGCCTGGTCTGTTAGAGGTACCAGAGTGGAACTCACAGTAAATAGTGTATTCTTGAATGTGTCAACACTATAATGTTAGTCTTGATTTACGTTGTCTCTGTCTTGTAATTTTGTAATGGTAATGTATTTTAATGACTTTTAACATCATGGCCAGGGGACTACAAATAGAAAAGCCTGAATTAGCCAAGGAGGCTAACTCATGTTTAATCATGTGTTTTATGTAATTGCATTGTCCCCCTTTGAAATAAACGTATTCAGTGTAGGGGAGAAAATCCTCCAGTTGTATGCACAGCTAAACAGAGCCGTTTTTAAGATGGATTTGAAGACTGCAGAGACCTGTCCCACGTTTTCAAGAAGATTGTTCCATAACTTAGGTGCATAAATCTGAAACGCTGCCTCCACATGTTTAGTTAAAAGTCTGGGCACCAGCAGGAGGCCGGTCCCTGTGCTCCTCATAGTCCCAGCCGGTTCAAATGGCATCAACATGTCACAAATGTTAGGGTTAGGTGCAAGGTCATGGAGAGACTTGTACACAAGCAGCGCTAAAGTCTATTCCCTGAGTCACAGGAAACCAGTGCAGAGACCTGAGGACTGGACTAATGTGATTCTACTTGCAGGTTCTAGTCAGGACTCCTGCTGCAGCATGTTGGACATACTGACATTTTTTTGTTGTTGACATATTTGTTAGCAAAAAACAGCAGGGCACCTTTTGTTGCTGCGTTTGATGTGAGCTACGTAACTTGATTTTGATTGATGCTGTCGAAATCTTGTAATGTCTGGGACAAAGTTGAAAATGTAACTAAAATATATTATATTGTGATCAGTTTTGTTTAACAAGTAGTCATATTGAATAAAAAAAATGCAAAAATATTAATGGTCTATATATTTAATCCACCTTTTTATTTTTATGAAAATCATCTTGCAACCACCACTTTGGGAACCACTGGTCTCATGTACTGGAGACAAATGTGTAGATGGGAATCTCCAGGTCTTTAGACACTGTTCTTATTCTTAGCAGTTTTAAGTATGGCAAAAAGCTGCTGATTTTACCAATTGGATGTAGCCGGACGTACAATACCAGAGTACAAATTACATTTCGTACTAAGGTCTGGAGGTTCTCTATTGAGCTCTGTTAACAGGTGGGAGGGGTTAACTCCTTTTGCAGATTGAAATGATTGGATCCGAGTTTACCGTGACGTATGTAATGCACCCGAGTGAGTCGTTAGCATTTAGGCTCGCCATCTCCTTTGCTGCGAACAGAGCCCGTGGGGAGTAGCGTCACAATCTTTGCCAGCAATTACATTTGCTAAACATTCCTCTTACTCCGGCTTCCATTTCTTGATAGAACCAAACCGGAATTCTTTACTTACGCATTCTTCGCCATTGCCAAACTACAACCTGTCCGTTCGACACCCGCCTCCCCTGCTCGCTGATTGGTCGGATAGAATTCAACCGATGTAATTGCAAACACAGGGACCAGACCGAAGCGTTACCTGCAGGGAAATGATTGTACGGATGGCTAAGGCCAGGCTAAATTGTGTGGTTGTTTCATTTTTCTTTAAGACTCTGGTTTAGAAACTGCTGACTACTCTCTCATGAGACAGAGGGGACGTCTGGTAAAACAATAGAGACTTTATATGTGTGAACAACATTTTTATCATGAGACTGAAATACTATATCATGAGTTGCATATGAATGTCCTGAATGTATGGTTGTTAAAGTGTTTCTTGTGACTCCTAATTTCTATAAGGGCTCACTGCTTTGTGTGTTCGGGGTCATTCTGCTATTCCATCTTGTCAGGGACTCAGGCTGAAGCACTAAGCCTGAATTTGACTTAATGTATTCTGATTACGCCATTAAACTCTTTCTTTAATACATGGTTTGTGCGAGGAACCCCATCTTCAGCTGAGAAGAAGATACAACACATGGTCCCAAATATAATGCAAATACAAACAAATTCCTTATGCACTATTTAATGACAACTGTCATTTTGATTTTACATGAACTCACTTTCCAACCTTGTTTGTATTATAGGCACCAAACTTTTTTTTCCCCTATAAAGTCTTGAATGGTAAAAGGGGAAACCTTAGCTCAGAAAGACCCTGTTCCGACCGGGATTCAAATCCAGGACCTTCTTGCTGAGAAGCAAGAGAGCTACCCACAAAATATCAACTAAAAAAAGAGAATCTAAAATCTGTTCAAAATGTTTTTTGTTTTTTTTTACTCACCTCCATTTCCCACTGTTGTCTTCCCTGTTGCGCTATATAAATAAACATGACTTACTTACTTCAGTTCATAAAAGCCTCAGGTCTTCAGTTCATAAATTAATTGTGCGTCAAAGTCCTATACGTTGCATTAACACTTTTACCAGAATGTTCTTTGCATCCCAGTTCACTCACTGTATCCATATATTTTGTGCATATCTCATTTTCTATTCTATTCTATTCTTATGTCAAAGAAAATAAATGAACACCAATATGTATTATGTTTCTTCTTGGTCTTGTGTCTGTTTGCAGCTGGAGGATTCCACAGCTGGCCTCATCCCAGCGTTCCGCCCGTGCACACATACAGAAGAGTGAATCCGCTTCAGCCGTGCGAGGAATATCTTTTAGAAATGCAGCCGCGCTAAAGTCATGTCTCAATTGATGTATTTAAAACATGCTAAAGCTGTGTCTGGTTGTTTCCATTTTCATTTTAGAATCAACGAATGCCTCTTTTCAGTCTTTAGGGGGGCTTATGACACTCATAATTGTGCTGATTTAGTGAATATAGAAAGTTGAGGGTTTCACTTGTAAATCTGTTTGATTTCCGCAAAATTGCAACCTACCAAAAACATGTGAGAAATAAGTCATCTAGTGATTACATTGTCAGACTTGTTTTCCATATCAAACCAATAATTTACAGCCAATCATGGACTAAGTGACTGTTATCTGTTTTGATTTTTTGTAATGAATAGAGAAACAAGGACAATCTTTATTTGTCTTTTTCTGATTTTCTAATATGTAGGAGCACTAATATCTTGTTTGTGTTTTATTTTTTTAAATTTCTTTTAACCCCTAGTTTTTTATTATAGGCCTCTACAAAATGGTTGAGATGCAGTTTTATGGTGAAAGTGACTAAAACCAAGAGATGTCTTAATGAGGTGGATTGCACCCAAGCTTCAAGTAGATGTAGTGATAAGAAAATTATCCAACAAATGGATGAGGAAACCATTAAAGGGTTAACCCACACAAACACCTACTCGAGTGCAGCGTAAAAATACTTCTCTTTCGCTTTAGCCAGAACCGCCAAGAAACAAATGGGAACATCTCTGTGGAATCAGCTGGAATATGACATAAAAATCTCTGCAAACATCCACTTGTTTAAGAAAAATATCAAAGCAACAACAATGTTGTTGTATGAAATAAGTGATTTAAAGGCGCTATACCCGTTTCTGCAATGTTTGAATGTTTGGCACCGCCCCCCAACTCGCTCAATGGCTTCTCATTTCCCCTACGCTCTCATAACGCAGAGCCATCTAGTTCAATTTGCGATCTGACATGTATGCTAACATTAGCATTAGCACAACTTCTTGTAAGCTGTTCAACAATCACTGATGAAATGGTACTAAAGCAACGCACTGCTAACACAATATATAGATAAAAGAATACTGCTAGTTTCGCATCCGAATGTATTCAAACATTAGAATATATTTGAATATTTAATTATAATTTATTATACAGCTCCTCACAGCAGCAGTAGAACACTCCATTGACTTGAATGTAATTTCAAAATGTTCTACCGATCATTTTTTCTTGATAACAGAACTCTCAAACCAATATTGACCGCTGCCCTTTGACAATCAAATCCCTGTCATTCAGTTGTTTAAAATACTAACATTACTCGCTACACGCTCAATAAACAAAGACATATCAATCAATCGATAAATTAATCGGACAATACAGTATACATATACATCCTTAACACACATGCACGGACGTTTTCAGAATTTGTTAACGTTTTCATGACAAAATTACTATTTTAATGTGACAAAAAGCGGTCGCGAAAAACCCGAAAGTAACCATTAACACGAAACGAACACCTGCCTAGCACGTCCCGGTGAAACCTTTGGGAGCTAACTATTTTATTTGCAGTTATTAAATACATTTCGAATTATAAGGGCTGTCTTATATTTGTTCGAATATATATATATATATATATATATATATATATATATATATATATATATTTAATTTTAGAATTATGTTCGAATTTCAAAGTCAAAGCCCTAGTTTTTAGCAGCGCTGTAGAGGCTAGAGGATGCAGGCCGTTCGCTGCTCGTTCTGTGAGTGGAGGAGAACGAGCGTCCCGCTAAGACTCCACCCAGCACTTTTCACGGTCTGCATTCTTACACAGCTGAATCAATGACCTCAAGTTTTCTATTAAATTACGCCTGTAATGTTTATTTATATAGCACATTTTACAGACCAAGGTCACCCAAAGCGCTTTACAATGTTCA